CCTAACCCCATAAAAACTAATAAAATCTATACCAAAAAAAGAAAAAGAAATGAGAAAGGAAAAATGGCTGCAGCCATGCTCATTCTAAAGTTGACAATGTTGTTTTCGCCTCGGCTCCTCAATCATAATAAAACAAAGTCACTGATTCAATGGTAACAGCAGTGACGGAAATTCCAAAATATATCCTGGTTCCACATGCTGAAAACGTCTGAAGGGACCCTCCTGTCAAATTCAGAAGAAGCCTGATCCCCTCTCCTCTCCTCTCTCCTTATGCTGGATGGTCTACTCGGGCTGCAAAGGGGAGGGAAAAGGCAGGCAGGGTCAGTCTGAGAGGGAGCCAAGAGGAGGAATCACCTGTCCAGGCTGAGGGATCAGCAAAGATCAGCCCAGGGAAGGAGCAGAAGCAGCAGCCTCAAGGGAGGGATCAGCTGTGTGGGATTTACAAGAGGGGAGGGGCAGGGCTGGGAACTGGCTCCTGAGGTGGGTGAGAACCTGCCCCACATGTATGGATGCCTCCCCTCAAACAGACAAATCCAATTTTAATTTATGTTGCCCCCCCGAGACAAGTTCAAATGGGTTCATGGCCTTCAGAGATTCCAGGTCTCCCTTCAGCATCTGGAGGGAGGGATTCCCAGATGGGCTCAAGGAGGGGAGAGAAGCCCCCTCTCCGTCCACAACTGCAGGACCCTCAAGAAGTCCCTCCTCTGCCTCCTCCCTCCCCTTTGCACTGGGGACACTCCCGATCTCCTTTGTAGGTCTCTTGACCTCCTGATCCAAGACAGTCAGATCTTGAGAGGGGCCACAATCTGGCCTTGAAGAATAAGAGGGTGGACAACAGGCAGACCTTCCCCACAGCCCCAATGCCTCTCCCCCAAACTTCTCACTGCCTGTTCAGTGCTAGAGATGGAGAGAGGGAAGAGGGTTTTCTCAAAAGTATTTTCACCATCACCTGGTCATTCAACCTCAAATCCCTCCCCTCCCTTCCTTCTCCCCTCCACACAACCTCCAGCGGGGCCACTCACCTGCGAGGGGGGCTTCTAAATCTCCTAGATTCTCCCTGTATTGGAGAAAAAGACACAGAGTGAGTCTCTGCCTTGTCCGGGTCCTCTGAGGAGGACAAATCTCTCTCTTCGCCATTAAATCTCTGCAAGTTCAAGACATTCTCAGAGGAGACCAGGCTGGGCCACCAGAACAGTCTCTAACCACTGGGGCTCATGGCATCGCTTTTGGTTTTCCTATGTCCCTCCCCAGAGCTGAGAGGCTCTTTGCTCCAAAGATGGAAAAGCAGCCATAAAAGGGTAGACCAGTGATGGCGAACCTTTTAGAGACCGAGAGTCCAAACTGCAACCCAAAACCCACTTATTTATCGCGGGGTGCCAGATGGGCATGGCCCACTGGGTGGGCATGGCTGTGGTGGGCATGGCTGTGGTGTTCATGGCAGACTGGGTGGATGTGGCCAAGGTGGGCGTGGTCACCTCGATGTTGCTCGTGGGGAGGGACGCCTGTGGGGACCGGACAGGGTTGGGGGAGATCCAGTGGGTCTCTGGCAGGTGGGGCAGAGGCTTGTCCTGTGGAGTGAGGCGAGGCAGCCATTGTCGCAGGGCAAGGCAAAACAGGGGCCGGAGTGGCTGCTGCCTGACACCATTGGCCCGCACACACAGAGGCCAGCGAGCGCATGGAGGCGGACAGTGTCCGTCAGCAGCCAGAGCCTGCGGCCCCTCGACCAGCGCACTCGGGCTCCGCAGCCCGCCGCCAGCAGTTTAGAGAAGCCGCCTCTGAGCTGGACGGCTGGCCAACAGCTGAGGAAGCGATGCAATGGGTCGTGCCCAGGAAAAGCACGCAAGGCCAGGAGGGATGGGATGGCGGAAGGAAACCAGCCATGCTGGGATGTATCTGGCCACGTGGGACCTCAGTGAGTTAGCAGGCAGCTGGTTGAAGAGGGACGGTTACCATCTCTGGGGCATGGTGCACGTGCCCACAGAGAGGGGCCTGAGTGCCGCCTCTGGCACGCGTGCCATAGGTTCGCCACCACTGGGGTAGACAATATCAATTTGAGACACAATCTCAATAGATTTTTCTATTCTTTCTCCGACTTCCTTCTGAGTAAAGTTATTTATTTCCCCCCCCCCCCACCTTTCTGTTCTTTTTACCAATCAACCAAGGGGGTGAACTTAACTAATAGTCCTTCCTTCTCCTATTTTCCCCATAACAACAACCCTATGAGGTGAGTTGGGTTGAGAAAGACTTGTCCCACCCAGCCAGTTCTTCATGAATAAGATGGGACTAGAACTCACTGTCTCCTGGATTCTGCCAGGTGCCTTCACTATGAGGCCAAACGGTATCCAATCTATTCTACATTCTCCGGAACCAGACACAGAGGGAACCCATGGAGGGTGTATTAGGAAGCCCTTTAAAAACAGGAGGGAGAGTGTCTCTCTCCCTTTTTTCACCCCCTCCCATCCCCCCAAAAAGTCTTGCTAAGAGGCAGAGTTGCCAATAATAAAGTTGGAAGGGACCTTGGAGGTCATCTAGTCCAACCCCCTGCTCACAGGAAACCCTATACCAGTGGTGGCGAACCTATGGCACACGTGCCTGAGGCGGCACTCAGAGCCCTCTCTCTTGTCACGCGCGCCACTGTCACTAGCAGCAGGTTCATCAGGCCGCCACCGCCGCAGGAGCCCCGCCCACCACAAAGGAGGCGAAGCGGCTAAACTAGCAAGCTCGAGTAGAGGTGGTAGAGCAGAGGTCACCAACCACTGTCGATTGGTGGACTGGAAGAAAAGGGAGGGGGAAGCATTTTACATGCGTGCATGCGCGCACGGCGCCGCAAGCACGCACGCACTGCAAATGGGGCATGGCTAGTGCCTACGTGATACTCATTAGCCCTGCCCCGTTCTTGCGTGGTGCAGCCCCTTGTATCTGTACCCCATGGCATGACGGCAGCCATTTTTGCACCTTGCAGCACAGTGGCCCATTTTTGCGCCCCGGGTTTTGCATGCCAGAGGCAGCACTCAGAGGCGCCTCCCTGCCCCCCCCCCCCCGAGGGCATCACAATACTGATGCGGCCCTGGCATTTTGCGATAAATAAGTGGGTTTTGGGTTGCGGTTTGGGCACTCGGTCTCTAAAAAGTTCACCATCACTGCCCTATACCATTTCAAACAAGTGACAACCTCCAGTGAGATTTTTAAGAAGGCAAGCTGTTCCACTGATTAATTGCTCTAACTGTCAGGAAGTTTCTCCTTAGTTCTAGGTTGCTTCTCTCCTTGATTAGTTTCCATCCATTGCTTCTTGTCCTGCCTTCAGGTGCTTTGGAGAATAGCTTGACTCCCTCTACTTTGTGGGAGCCTCTATCAGATCCTTTGTCATTTGAGGCGTCCTTGGTGCTCTCTGAGCTTGCTTGTTTTCTTGCAGACGTCGTAGCTCGGTATCTGTAGACTAGCACGGATGATGTTACCCCGTTTGGGTAATAAAACGTCTAAAAAGGAAACAAGCCAGCTCAGAGAGCACCAAGGACCCCTCATGTCAACCCTGAGCTACAAATATTCTCCTTTATTAGTATCTTTCTCATTTGCTGGAATAGAAAGAAAAGGAGGTGGGGAGATCAATCTCTTACCTGGAGGGGAAGAGATGGAGAACACAGAACATAGACCAAGGAAGGGACCTTGGAGGTCATCTAGTCCAACCCCCTGCTCAGGCAGAAAACCCTATACCATTTCAGACAAATGGCTGTCCAGTCTCTTCTTAAAAACTTCCAGTGTTGGAGCATTCACAACTTCTGGAGGCAAGCCGTTCCACTGATTAATTGTTCTAACTGTCAGGAAATTTCTCCTTAGTTCTAGGTTGCTTCTCTGTTTATCTATCTTCTTGTCCTGCCCTCTGGTGCTTTGGAGGAGAGATCAACCCCCCTCCCCTCTGTGACAGCCCCCCAAATACTGGAAGACTGTTATGATATCACCCCTAGTCCTTCTCTTCATTAGACTAGACATATCCAGTTCCCACAACCGTTCATCGTAGGGTTTAGCCTCCAGACCCCTGATCATCTTCGTTGCTCTTCTCTGCACTCTTTCTAGAGTCACAACATCTTTTTTGTATCATGTTGACCACAACTGGATGCAGTGCTCCAAATGTGGTCTCACCAATGCAATATAAAGCACTACTATCACGTCATATGAATTTGATCCTATCCCTCTATTGATGAAACCTAAGACTGCATTAAACTTTTTCGGCAGCTAGAGCACTCTGCCGGATCATACACTAAGTGGTGATCTATTAGGACTCCTAGATCCCTCTCATAGTTACTACCACTGAGCCAGGTAACACCCTGTTCTATAATTGTACATCAGCTCCTTCAAACACATACACACAAACAAAAGGCACCCAAAGAGTTTGAACCAAACTGTTTTAGCTAAGAAACATAGGAAAGAATTCTTAACATTTGTATATCTCCATGTAGAACAACAGTTCAGCAATTCCTCAGCCACTGTGGACATGAATATACAGATAGCTCAGAAGTTTCCTTTTCCAACCAGTTCATAATTAGGGAGCCTTGTGATGGGAGACCAAGAGGAGATCCAGCTGGCATGCACCAATGCTCCTTTTTCTCTCAGAATGCCCCCTTTTGATCCCTATTTTTACAGACTTCCCTGACCATGTTATGGTCAAGCCTTATGATTTCCACATCCTTGGAAAACGGAACAGCTTCTCATCAGAGGGATCTTCCACCCAGCCGGGTCTTTTCATCTCCTTGAGGGTTCCTTGTACCAGATGCATCTCCTTGGGGTCTCCCCTCCCAAGAACTGTCTGGCTGCAAGGAAAAGGGAGCCCAACTTTCACAGACTACTGACTGCAACACCCTGCAGTTTCACGAGGAACACAGTAACACCCTGCTTTTGCGTTTAGAAACACGAGACACACAGATGCACACGCAGCCTTCAACTGATGTGATCTCTGGTGCCTGCTTTGAGTTGGAGTTTACATGAAAAGAGGACAAATCACTCACCTGATGGTGCTTTGTAGCCATCCCGACGTTTCTCTGCAAGGACAAGAATCAGTGAAAGCTCAAAATAATCCACCAGAGACTATCCAATTTCTCTCCCTGTAAGACAGACATGTCAAACACAAGGCCCGGGGCCCGGATGCGGCCCGCAAAGTGGTTTCATGTGGCCCGGGAAGCCATCCTGGAAACAGTGAGGGAACGGCCCCCGCTGCTTTGGCCCTGGCCCAGGCCACCCGGGAGCCAATGTACAATTTTGTGGTGGCCATCTATGCTGAAACACATTCAGTCTTAGCTCCATAAGCCTCCCCCCCACATAGCCTGAGAGGAACAGTGAGGCTCCTCCAGTGGACCATGCCTTGGCACTTGCTCCGGTCCCACTCCCTTCTGCCAGAGACCCTCAGATCTGTCCCACTCCTGCCCAGGCCCCCACAGGCACCCTTGACGCGAACGATGTAGAGCTGTCCACACCCACCCAGTAGGCCACACCCACTCCATCCACACCCACCCAGTAGGCTGCACCCACCCTGGCCACACCCACCCGGCCCCCTGAGGGCAACCGCAATGCTGATGTGGCCCTCAATGAAATTGAGTTTGACACCCCTGCTGTAAGAGGAAGAGGCTGGGAGAGGTTTTTACAGTTGTTTAGACAAAACCTCTCCTGGCTACTCTTATTAACAGTCACAGGAAGAGCTTCAGACTACAAGCACGTCATTTGATTTGCCCCAAGGGAGACCTGCTGCCTCCGAGATGGACGGAGGGGAATTGGGGGAAGCAGCAGCAGCAGCTGGGAGGGGAGGAAGGTTTTCATGGAAATCCTTCTCTGCTGCTCTTTGACCAAAGACTTTGAAAGGGACGGAACTGGGATGCTTCTTCCCAGCTCAGAAGAAGACAGGACTGTCCCAACCTCAGACTCAGCCAAGTCAAGACTGGAGTCCCAGCAAGAGGCCGAGATCTCAGATGCTCCCCAAGAGGGCTGGGAAAACAGGACAGGAGGAAGCCCTGAAGAAGCTCCCCAAAGAGAGAGACTTGGGAGGAACCTCCCCATCTCCCTTCCATCACCCAGAAAAAGATACTTACTGAAAAACCAGATCCCAACAATCATGCCCAGCAGGACAAGACCAGCCACAACGCAGCCGATGATGATCCCCACATTGGATTTTGGTTCTGAATTGGGAGAAAAAGCAGATAATTGAAGGAGAACCTCAATCATCCCAATTGGGGGAGAGACCTAAAATAGCGAAAGCTGGAAATTCTCAAAATTAAAACCTTCTATGGGTTCCTCTTCATGTCCCTCTAAGGGTAGCATGAAGGCTCCTTGCTAACCACCAATCGACAATGGTTGGTGACCTCTGCTCTACCACCTCTACTTGAGCTTGCTAGTTTAGCCGCTTCGCCTCCTTTGTGGTGGGCGGGGCTCCTGCGGCGGTGGCGGCCTGATGAACCTGCTGCTGGTGGCAGTGGCGCGCGTGCCAAGAGAGAGGGCTCTGAGTGTCGTCTCAGGCATGGGTGCCATAGGTTCCCACAATCCTTCAGTCTGCCAAAGAGCCCAGCCTTTCTCTCCCTGCAGCTTCTCACCTTTTATGGCCACATCCAGAGGCTCCTGCAGGCCGTCGTGCTCCACGTGGCACCGATAGCAGCCCCTCTCTTTTGGATTGATCCAGATGCTGAGCCAGGTGTGGAAGGTCCCATCTGCATTGGGGGCCACAGGCCCATGGAGGGTGTCATTCTGCCAGACCTCCCCGTCCCTCCTCCAGGAGGCATCAATCTTCTTGGGGTAGAAGCCATCCATGTAGCAGACGTGCATTTCCATCCCATTCTCTACCACCGTCCTGTTCACTGTCACCATGGGGGGATCTGCAGAAACCACAGAATTAACTCTGAGCCCCTCCAGAGCCTGGAAGGTGGATAAGAAACTCGGAGAAGCAGGAAAATTTCCCACTGTTTCCCACTCCAGACCTGCAGTGTCCCCAAGAGTTTCAGGAAATGCTCTAAATCTGGAAAATGCTCAACCACAAGGACTCCTGATTCTGAGTCCTTCCTGGGGACTCAGCCTGAAAAACCTCCAGCAGCAAATTGAGGATCCAAGGAAATTCCTCTCTGGCTGCTTTGAACTCTGACTGATCTTGGACTCTTCCCTGAAGGGGAGGGATGGCAATAGCATTATAGCACTTAGACTTATATACCGCTTCACAGTGCTTTACAATTCTCTCTAAGAGGTTTACAGAGTCAGCACACTATCCCCAACAATCTGGCTCCCTATTTTTACCAACCTTAGAAGGATGGGTGAATAAACCGTGAGCTGGTCAGGATCGATCTCCTGGAGTGCGTAGTGCGTTAGCTGGGTGGGACTAAAAAGTTCAATCAATCAACTCCAACTTTGCGAGATCTTTTTTCCCCCTCAAGTAGTTGAAATTGATTGATTGAACCTTTTTTTTTTTTTGCACAGGGTGGCGGAGGGCTAAAGCCAAAAGTATACTGAATATTTTTGCTTTGACAATGTGCAGAACTGTCTGGTATTTTTATAGTTAAATCAGGCAACAGTGAAAGGGGAGGAGAATAAGGAAAGCCCGGGGAAAAGAAACCGGAAGTAAATCACATCTTCCAAGTTAATTGGAAGATGTAAACCATGACCCCTAAATAAGGGAGGGGAAAAATGCTTGGAATGTATGTGCAATGGAAAAGAATCCAGATCTAAGCATTTCCACCATGCCGTACTAACGTCTCTGTAACCTTAATAAATGCTTTTACGAAAAATATGCCTGAAAGTTCTTTTAAGTGTTTCGTTAATCAGACACATGACATCATGCTTAGATCTGGATTCTTTTCCGTTGCACATACATTCCAAGCATTTTTCCCAGCCCCTATTTTGGGGTCATGGTTCACATCTTCCTATTAACTTGGAAGATGTGATTTACTTCCGGTTTCTTTTCCCCGGGCTTTCCTTATTCTCCTCCCCTTTCACTGTTGCCTGATTTAACTATAAAAATACCAGACAGTTCTGCACATTGTCAAAGCAAGAATATACAGTATTTGCAGCGTTGACAAAAAGGTTTTATAAAACCCAGCTGAAGGCCGAGGACTGGGGCGAGGGCGTGCGTGCCCACCGAGAGGGCTCTGCGTTCCACCTGTGGCATGCGTGCCATAGGTTCGCCACCATGGGACTAATCCTCCTTCTATTCATATCCAGAGGATTCAGTTTCCAGTCCCAGATCAACCTCAATTGGAGCTTTTTCAATGACTCTGAATCTGCATTGATGGGGCTGGACATTCTCCTTGAGGATCGGGGCAGAACACAGGGAGAAAATTACCTTCAACATTGGATATACATATATACACACATATACACATGCACAGGCATATGTATACTTTATGCTTCTGACTCCTATCCAGTCTCCTATCAACCGCTATTACAAAATGTTTTTAGCCAGCCAGGTATCCTCCACCCAAACCTTGCATCTTTAACAAAATTTGGTACTCAAAATAGGGGCTCCCAGACACCTCCTGATTTTTGTAACAAATCTGAAATTAAACAAGAGTGTATCTGTGCTCAGCATAAGTTCTCTGCTGCAGGTAGGAAACGGGGAAAAGAAAGGCTAAGGTAGGATCTAAGGGCATTTCATCAGGATTGGCCAACTCTTCTGATGGGATCTGTTGCTTTCTTTATATCATCTGAAGCCAATTCTATGAACCAATTCCTGCAGGTCCACCACCACCTTCTACAATGAAAAAACCAATAGATTAAATCTCTGGTATGATCACATCTGGATACAGCTGGGGTCAGATTCCTCTCCCACAACCCTCCAGCCTGCCAAAGAGCCCAGCCTTTCCCTCCCTGCAGCTTCTCACCTTTTATGGCCACGTCCAGAGGCTCCTGCAGGCCGTCGTGCTCCACGTGGCACCGATAGCGGCCCTTCTCTTGGGGATCGATCCGGATGCTGAGCCAGGAGTGGAAGGTCCCATCCGCGTTGGGGGCCACAGACCCACGGAAGGTGTCCTGCAGCCAGACCTCCCCGTCCCTCATCCACGAGGCATCGTTCTCCCTGGGGTAAAAGCCATCCAGGCGGCAGACGCGCGTCTCCATTCCATCCTCCACCTCCGTCTTGCTGCTCACAGTCACCTCTGGGGGCTCTGCAGAAACGGCACCCCCGGAATTAACTCTGAGCCCCTCCAGAGCCTGGAAGGTGGGGGGGAACTTGGAGGGGCAGGAAAGTCTCCCACTACTTC